GGAGTGGATGAAGGGATGAGGGTAGATTGAAGAGGGGCTGACGACTGGGGGCTGTTGACGTACTGTGTGTGTGCGCAGGTCGAGATGTCGGTGGCGCTGGCGAAGCAACTTATGCAATCTCGCTTGTAAGGCACTTCATTCGGCAGGGACGATGGTCCCGCCAAAAAAAAAGAAAAAAAAAGAACGAACACGTGCAGTTTCGGTTGATTAAATTTCGTCCATAAATAATAAATAATAAATACATAAAATATATGCTGCGCGCACCTGGCGCACATGTGGCTGGCCTGTGCGCACACGCCCCAGTGCACCTACCTGCGCATAGCGCATCCCGGTGCACGCACGATGTGCGCACCACCGATCCGTGAACTGCAGCGCACACAGGCGCAGTGCGCCGGAGTTATGGTTTGCAAACTTCTTTTTTTGCTGCCAGGCCTGTATGTACATCGAAAGCACGACCTGCTTATTAATGCCTGCAAACATGGGAGAAAGGGGGGGGGGGTTCTACACCAGACACCACATGCACTGGGTGACCAAGAAGACCCTTGATGACATGTATGAGTTCTCAGAAAAAAGAAGAGGGAGGAGAAAAAGGAGATGATCACATCCTGAGCGGAATGTGAAGCAGCGTACAAGCTCAATACCCTGTGCTACGAACTGAAACTGAATGTGGCTCTAAACATGGCCAAGAGGAGTACGGATGGACATGAATGAACTTGGTACAATGTGACGGAATGGTGCAGACATTTAACTGTTGATGAAACAGGTCATGAGTTTGAATCCTGATGGAGTCAGGCGGATGTACAAGTGTCGTTCAGGACATCCGTTAAAGGGCACCAGTAGTACTCCACACATCGGCCCGAGGGTGTCAGCATGAAACCCGCACCCCACTTAGGAGGCCGCCTTTTTTTTTTTTTTTTTTTTTTTTCCTGCAGTCGCGCGGCTTCCGATGGGTTTTTTTTTTTTTTTTTTGGTCATCCTTGCGCAGGGGCCATGCTAATTACCCTTCTCTGTATCGTTCCAATCCTTGTCCCGAAGGACGCCTCCGAGTTTTTGCTCGTGGAGAGAGAAAAAACTTTCTGCGAGGCTGCGTGGGGGGCTCTGTACTACCGTCTTCCCCCAAACACAACGCACCCTGATTTTCACTGTATCGGGCTGGAAACAAGCCTTGTAGTCGTTCATTTTCAGGGGTTAGGTCCCACTTAACACGAATTAAGCGATACTGATCGTAGATAGCAAAGATCAACGGCCAGAATCTCTTAATCCGTGCAAGTGGGACCTTGCCCCAGGGGTTTGTTTCCAGCCCGATACGGTGAAAATCGGGGTGCGTTGTGTTTGGGGGAAGAGGGTAGCGGTTTAACATTGGAATGATACGGAGAAGATTTCGCATGGCACCTGCCCAAGGACCACACACGTAAATTGATAGCCGGTACAAATAAGGGGCGGAAGGGGGGGGGGGGGGGGGGGGAGGGGGGAATAAAGAAGAACAAATGGATTTTCCCCAAGTGTTAGGGCCTCGCTGCACTACTCTCGAGATGCACAAAAGACAAAAATATTGGCGCTGTATCTTTCCATATTCTATCATAAGATTCACTCTCGTTTTGCACATTTCGAGAGTAGTGCAGCGAGGCCCTTACAGTCAACTGGGGGTCCTACTACTACCATGGTAGGTGATGGAACTGCAAACACGTTTATGGATTGAATTATTGAACAAGTGTCAAGCCTAAAAATTGGTCCAATTAAAAAAAATAAAAAATAAAAAAAATGAACAAGTGTCAAGCCTAAAAATTGGTCCAATTCAAAAAAAAAAAAAAAAAAAAGGTCCAATTTTGTTGCATGTTGTGTGTTGTAAACAACAATGGTGTGTTTTGCTGTGTTCCATTGATTGGCACCTGGGGGGGTGTTTCCCTTCACTGATATGGTTGCAGGAGCTGACCATCTAGAGGATGAACTAACAAACGCAAGTGGAGGGATAGCATGATGTGATGTCCACAACTGTTAAGTTAAAGCAGCTTTCAAGAGAGGAGTTATGCCAGATGTCAGAATGACTCTTGCGTTCAGAGTAATAGTACCTCTTGCTGATTGGCGCCCGCTCACTGCGACCTGTCGAATGTGAAAAAGGTTAAGTGTTTTGGTTTCCTTTTTCCTTTTCTTCCACTGCTTCAAGAATGCGGGCGGCAGTTCTGGAACGTGGCAGGTGAGGATGTACTCACACACTAGCTCTATCTTTAATGAATCTGACCGCATTTACAACCGGACCTGTACGTATCGGACCGCAATTACGTCCAAGTTTATGTAAAAAAGTCATTGTGTGCCCTGCCCTGAATTGAGGAAGCCGTTGCCGCATTTGCTGCTGCTGCCGCTGTGGGCGAAATTTCTATTGAGGAGGGATATTGTGTGCGGCATTGAGCGGCATATTCTGGAAACCTGGGCAGAAATTTGTGGAAGTTGTGGGCGAAAGGGATATTGTGTGCGGCATTGAGCGGCATATTCTGGAATCCTGGGAAGAAATTTGTGGAAGTGTGTGCGGCATTGAGCTGGATATTCTGGAAGCCTCGGCAGAAATTTGTGGAAGCCTGGGTGGGAATTTGTCCAAGCCTGGGCGGCATAGTGTGTGGCAATGTGGGACACCGGGCTTCACTGCTTTTGAAGGATATAGTGGGATAACTTGTCCCGCTGTGATGCCGCACGCTGGCTATCTAGGGGGATGTGAATGATGATTGTGCGACAGCCTGGGCGGCAGCGAGATGACTGCGCTGGCCATGACTGCTGATCATTAGCACTGCGTGTGACGATCCAAGGAGGTAAGGTGGGCGGGAAGCTGTGTGTGTGGAGGCGGGTGGGGAGGGAAACACATGCCACCTAATTAGCCCGTGTGGGTGTGTACGAGAGTGCAGTAGGGGAGATGTGTAGGCTGATAGAGAATGGTCGTGATATGCCTGCTGATTATTAGCATTGTGTGCGACAATCCAAGGAGGTAAGGCGGGCGGGGAGGGAAACACACATGTCACCACGAAGCTGCGTGGGTGTGTACGAGAGTGCGGTGGGGGAGATGCATGGCTGATGAGAATGGTCATGCTGCATTTGATGATCTTGCGACGTACATAAGATTGTCTTAATTTGCGTTCGATCGTTGTTGAGTCTTCTGATCTGTAGTAATGCTCCACTGCTGAAGGTCATATTCCTCTCCGCCTTCCTCTGCAGCGCAAACAGTTCTCCACCCTTGCCTGGTAGTCCACACGTCAGGAAAGCCGATGAAGTGGTCTTGACTGTGCACATCTGAATTTAGTCTTCCACTCGCGAGCGTGTGTGTGTGTGTGTGTGTGTGTCTGTGTGTGTGTGTGTGTGAGAGAGAGAGAGAGAGAGAGAGAGAGAGAGAGAGAGAGAGAGAGAGAGAGGTTTGTGGTCAGTCAGTCGTAGTAGTCCGAGCGGCCTTTGGTGTGTGTGAAGCCACAGCGTCAATATCTGGGGGCTGTTGCTGTTGGCAATCTTGTTCTGTCTGTCATTCTCGTGTTTTCACGAGAGGAGAGTAGAAACGTAGGTTTCGGTCGCAATTCTCGATGGTCCCGACTTCCCCACGTTGCGTCTGCGGATTTGTGCATCGCTCGCTTTTGCCAGCTTTGATCAATCAGGCACCTCTTTGCTTTGATTGGTTGATGGCAATCGGGAGCGTAACTGGGACTCCGAGCTATTTATTCATTCGTGTTGTTTTTTGGAGTTGCCGTAACTACCGAGGGTTGATGGGAAGAGAGGGAACAGCAGACTTACTTCCTCATCTTATGATCCTTCATCTTATGATCCTGTGGCAATCTCTCTAGACGGTGCAGAATGGTGAAAGTCGTCGCCAGGCAACAACTATACATTTGACTTTTATGTGCACCTAGCGACTTGCCTCGCATGTCCTCTCCTTTTCCCAATCTCTCCCATCATTTCTACGCGCGCGCGCGCACACACACACACACACACACACACACACACACACACACACACACACACACACAGAGAGAGAGAGAGAGAGAGAGAGAGAGAGAGATGGGTGCATTTGCGAAGGAGAGAGAGGGGGGGTTTGGGGAGGGCGAAGTTAGTGAAGAAGAACCGGTCATGATGGCAAAGGAAAGGCGAGTTGAGGGATCCCAGCCGCAGCCATCGCGGACATCGGCACAAGATTCTTCAGGCAATACTACTGACGGCGATGAAGCTTCTCTCGATGCGTATTCTGCTCACAGATCTCATGGGGAGAGTGCAGGTCTCAAGATGGAGAGAGAAGAGGGCATCGTAGCAGGGTGTTCTGTTGATGCACAGCCTTCTTACAGGTCTGATCGTAGTGCAGGTGTAAAGGGTGAGAAAGAAGGTGGTGGAGCTGGTTGTCTTAATTGCGATGAAGCTGGGGATGTGGATGGGGTTGGTTTCACCACGACGAGCTCAACAAGGCGACGGCATCTCATCAATGGAAGTGCCCGATCGCCGGTAGATGGCCTACATCACGACGGCGCCAAGAAGATGCAACCGGAGGACGGTGGCAAAGGTATAGAAGGGAAGCAAGGCGAGAAAGCAACAGCAGCCGGTGTGCGCTTTTTCTGCAAACCGAATTCCACAACGTTATTCGATGTTCTTATTGTGTTTATGTGTCATCTGTTCCCCTTCTCTGTTTTCGCCGCTATTTCGGAAATACTGCTCTTGAAATGGGCTGTCGCAAAGTATGGCTCAATCGTCTGGACCATCTTCTTTTCCGTCTCTCTCCTACTTATCACTATTCCCGGTTACTATATCCCTTCTGTGCGGAAAGTTCTTCGTTGTCTGTACGTTCCGCTGGCCAGGTACGTGAAATCTATGGCTGTTATCGTGTCCGCTGATGTGGGGGTCTCTTCTTCTCCCTCTGTTTCAGCGTCGTCTACCTCTGCCAACGAGAGTTCTCGTAAATTCGAGGACAAGCGATCCTTGATCTTTGCGATTCATCCACATGGACGCGTGTTTTACACCCCCACGATGTTAGCCCAGCTCCACGACATGTGGCACGAGGGCGCTCTCGGTCGAAAGAACGATCTGTTCATTGGCGCCAGCAGCGGCTTTTTCTACGTACCTGTCCTTCGCAATCTGCTTTATGCTGTGGGTGTTATTCCAGTCAGCAAATCTTCCGTCGTTAGGAAGCTGCGCGGTGGTCATGACGTCATTATCGTTGTCGGCGGCATCAAGGAAGTGTCGTTAGGCACAAGTGACCATGAAGATGTGTTGTTTCTTGTCAGAAGGAAAGGATTCATCAAGCTGGCAATCGAAGAGAACGTCGGTGTGGTCCCGGTCTACTGCTTCAACGAGAATAGTCTCTTCAAGCACGATCCCAAATGGTTCTTGAAATTCTGGGAGAAAGTCAATCGCCTGATTGTCATTGGGGTGCCCCTGTTCCGAGGGGTCTGGAATACCCCCATGCCCTATCGAAGGAACATTCTTGTAGCGGTCGGTGAACCCATGTTTGCCAAGGAAGGAGAGTCAGTGGATGCGTTTCATGCTAGGTACATGCAAGAACTCAAGAACCTTTATCACACGCACGTTGCTCTTTCAGGACGTCCTGATCACAAGCTAGTCATAGTCTGAGTTTTTTGCAGAGAGATTTTTGTGTGTGTGTGTGTGTGTGTGTGTGTGTGTGTGTGTGTGTGTGTGTGTGAGAGAGAGAGAGAGAGAGAGAGAGAGAGAG